GACCTTCTCGTGTGGCTGAGTCCCTGGGCACTTGTGATGCAGCGACCACAGGAACCAAGTGTAAAGTGTGGGAGGGAAAACCAGTCAGGCAACAAGGAGAAGGGGACCTTCCAGGTGTGCATCCTGCATATGGCAGAGCATTAACCAGAAGCCAGAGGACCCTCAGTGGTCAAGGGAAGACAAAACGGTGGCAGAGACGGGTGGTCTCTATCAAGTTTTCTGCCAAACCAAAGGCATACATGCCCCTGACTCAGCAATCCCACCTCCCGGCAGGTCCCAAAGACATGCCGAAGTCCAGAACGATGGCCATGGCACGGATTCTGGCCTCTGCCTCTGGGTGTGACGGACTAGGTCTGCAGGCGAGCCCACCCTGCGCAGCAGGGGAAGCTGGGAGCAGAAGCTGTGAGGATCGGGAGCGAGGAGCCGGAGCCCACGACGGCAGAGCGGCGGGTGCACAGGACACGACGGATGCCAGGGATGTCGCCACCTCAACAGGGGAAGAGCCCGCACTCGAGCCCAGCCGGCCAATTTTAACAGAGCACACGACACACGTCACAGGAACGCTGGAGCCACCAGCAAGTCAGCATGAACAAAGACAAAGAACCGAGGAAGTGGACGCGTTCTGAAGAGAAAGGACAATCAACGGAGTCCAGCCCTGAAGTGAAGCAGATGCCGCACGGACACGTGACGATGTCAGAAGCTCCCTTAGAGCCATCCTCGCCACAGGTAAAACAGTATGTTTCTCACCGAGTGAAAATCTCAGAGAAATAGAAATAATAAGAAAGAATGCAACGGAAATTCTCAGTTGCAGTTGCCTGGCTGCTGAGCAGAGCTTTGGGGACCTGGGTGAGGACAACACACGCCCCACACAGTGCCACGTGTGCAGGACAGGAGACGCAACAGCCAAGGCTGAAATCAACCTGAACGTCCCCAAAAGAAGGAGAAGCATCCACACGTGCTCAGAACACGGCGAGCTCTACGCCACAGCAGCACCTCAGAAAAATGGCGGGGGGACCACCTTTTCTGTCAGAAACGTGAGGAAGTGAGACACACACATGGATACTCTCGAGGGCAGGAAAGGAGCACGCAGAACACGCAAGACCTCTGAACGTGGCCTCGTGTAATCTTTACTTTTAAACCATGTAAATATTTTACATAACTAAAAAATAAATTTTAAGATTCTGGCACTTAATGTGGCACCTGGGTGGCTCAGTCGGTTAAGCGTCGGACTTTGGCTCAGGTCATGATCTCACGGTTCATGGGTTTAAGCCCCGCATCAGGCTCTGGGCCGACAGCTCGGAGCCCGGAGCCTGCTTCGGATTCTGTGTCTCCCTCCCTCTCTGCTCCTCCCCTGCTTACGCTCTGACACACTCTTTCTCTCTCTCTCTCTCTCTCAAAAGTAAATAAACATAAAAATGAAATGAAATGAGATGAAAGGAGATGAAAGGAGATGAAATGAAATGAAATGAAATGAAATGAAATGAAATGAAATGAAATGAAATGAAATGAAAATAAAAATAAAAATAAAAATAAAAAGAAGATAAAATCTGGAACTGAAAATGAACCGAGACACACAAACATACCTACAACAGCGACCTGGGAGCCCACCCACACGGAGAGACCATCGCGCCAAGTGCTGCAGGCCGGTGCTCGTGTCCTCAGTGGGACATGTTCTAAGACCTCACACACACGCTGCTGCCACATGAGGGATGCTCCTCTGAAACGAACACGCGAGGAGCCGGGATCTTTACCGTGGAGGACACAAGTATGAGACCAAAGGAGTGGGGAAAACCCAGTGACGTTACATCTAAACGGGAATAGTGATGCGAACACGTCTTTCATAACTTTTATTCCAGAGCTCTGTCCTCTAAAAAATTAGACCAGAGCCAACGGCACCCTGGTGGCAACGAGCGCCTTGGTGTCCTGACTTGGTACCTAAAAATCATCTCCACTGCAAGGACCAGGGGCAGCTTAGGGAAGTCTGAGGCCAAATGAGGGAAGCCAGACATAATGGAGCCCAAGGAGGCGAGGCTGGTGTGAACAGGCTCCACGGCCACGGAAAGGGACAGCTCGAGCTTCGGAAAGAATGACGATGACTGGTCAAAACTGAGTACAAAAAATCTGGGAGCCAGTCACATGTGGAGACCCTGACCAAAGCCTTCAGGACATGCAACAGCCCCTTTCCCATGCTGGGGACAAGCTGCAGGCTCCACACCCACCCCGCCTCAGTCACAGAGCACAAAGTTGGGTCCCCTGCCCACTGGTCTCTGGACCCCATAGCTTCCAATATGCTACCTGCACTTTCCTGGAAACAGGGGCAGGAGAGGTGAGTGTTCAGAAGGTTCCAGAACAGCAAGGAGAGGGAGACCTTGGGGTCTAGGCACAGACCCAGAGCCCAGGGACAGTCCATGCCAGGGAGAAGGCAGGCTACATGGCAACAGGTGGTCAGACCCTGGAAACATTCTGAAAGCAGAGCCAGAAAGTCTGCTGACGCCTTAGACCGTGGGTGGGGAGGGCCCAAGCAGTGGGCACATAGGTCCCTCGGGCACAGGAGCAGCCACACTAATGGGGACATGAGGTCTGAGCTGGAGCGGCCCCTGGAGGCTATGGTGTACTCGCAGCCCTTCACACACCAAAAGGAATGAGCCACAGAAGCAGGATGAAGGGAGCATCTTGAGGGGCCCAATCTGGTGGGGTGAGGCTGATGAAAGACTGGAAGGTCGGGAGTCACGAGGGCAGCCGCTGGCAGGAGAGACGGGGCTGCCAGAGTGGTGCCCCCAGGAGGGGCTGGGGTCTGGCTCCACCCCCAGACACCAGGGACGAGGACACTGGATGCTGCTCAGATGCCAATGCCGCTAAGTGGTTCAACAGACCAGACATCATCCCAGTCAGATCCCAGCAGCCTCTCCGCACAGACACCCGGATTCTCAAGCTTACATGGAAATGCACAGAACCCCAGAGAACTAAAAGGACCTTTAAAAAGGAGCTACCTGGTGTCAATATTTACTCTGAACTGACAGCAGTCAAGAGACAGTGGTATAGCTTTGAGGGTCAGCAGATAAATCAAAGGAACAAAACACAGTTCAGGCACAGACCTACCAGCAGAAGCCTTTCCGGCTGACTGGCTGGCTGGTCTGGAATAACTGTATATTCACACGGACAAGCAAAAATCTCCAGCCTTATCTGAAACTACATACTCAAGACGGATCATGGATCTAGAAGTTAAAAATATAAAAATTTTAGAAAAAGGAGAAAATCTTCACAACCTTGTGATAGACAAAGATTACTAACAGCACAAAAAGCACTAAACCATAAAAAAACTATTCTGTTCTACGAAAGACATCGTTAAGAAAATGAAGATGCACAGGGGCACCTAGGTAGATCAGTCGGTTAGGTTCCGACTCTTGATTTCAGCTGAGGTCATGATCCCAGGGTCCATGAGATGGAGACGAGATCAAGCCCAGTGTCTTGGGTTCTCTCTATCCTTCCGCCACCTGCGCATGTATTTTCACTCTCTCAAAATAAAGAAATAATTTTTTTTTTTAAAGAAAAAGAAAATGAAGAAGCACAGGCTAGGAGATAATACAGGTGTCTGACACAGGTCACGAATCAGGAACTGTAAAGAGCCCTTCCAACCCAGTAAGAAAACAAGTAGCCCAATTAAGCGATGGGCAACAA